TTACGGATCACGGCCCTGTAGTCGACCTTCGAAAATATGAATATATCCGTGGAGCATGTCGAAATCATCCCGGGAATCACAAGTGTTATCTCGGACGTGTAGTTAACAACCTCAATCATCGAGAGCACGAGTGTGAACTCCTCCTCTTTGTCACGATCCTCGATAACACGAAATGACGCCCCAAAGGACACGGGCACCATCTTATTCTCAACATCCCAAGGCATCTCATCCACACACGGCACATCCGGCTCAACAACATCATCTAAATGCTCGGATTCCTCCTCACTACCATCATCATTCTCCTACTCATCATCACCAACACCTTCATTACCCTCGGCTCACTCAAATCCTCAATTGAATTATCTCCCAATCCATCCTCAACATCAACTTCCAAATCCATACTCTCCTCAACAATCGAATCAAAACCCGAAGCACCATCAACGGAAGAATATTTTGACGTACCTAGTGTAGAGTGCAAGTCCACGTCATCACAAGGAGGAAGTTCTTTGACAATAAGCTCATCGATGTCCTTACTCGTGTCTAAAGGTTGAGTTCCATCGTACACGGGAGTGAGGCCCTTCTCTTTCAAGGAAGCAAAATGATCCACCATAACTCGAAATTCGCTCTCTAATCAAGTGCTCTCTCGAATAAGCTTCGCCGATAGAGTAGAATATCTACCGAGCGGAATAGACGATGAATCCAAGTCGAGAAAAGACACCACGGTGGAGTCGAACTTCTCAAGTGTAGCACGGAGAACGAATGGAATCGGGATGCACCTCCAACTATGAAACTCCTCGATGATCGACGCGAGGCTCGTGAGTGCGTCTTGAGTACTCGCCAAAACTTCTTGGTGACGATCGATCGGCCCAACCTCGGAATGAAATGAAGCTCCAAGACTAGATGAACGTCGTTGTCCAACCGATGGGTGCTCAAATACCAGAGAGGGAAGGGTGAAGGACTCGGCTTCTTCTTTTTCGGATAGGGAGGCTAATGAAGCACGAAGGAATTGAGTGTCCTCCTCCAACTTTGCCACGATCTTTTCTAATTCGGTTGGAGGGGCCCGAGTCGGCTCGGGTGGAGGCATAACATCATAAGAACCGGGAGGTAGACGATAGTAGAGAGGCGTCTCGTCATAAGCCGGATAGTGATCATAATAATCACATTGGGGTGTGGAATAAGGGTGGCTCGGGCCAAATGAGTTCATCTCCTCTTGAGAATTGTCGGGGTATCCACGAAATGAGCTCCTGGCATAATAGTGAGAATAGGGATCCATTCGGGCTCCTCAAGCGTAATACATCGCACAAGAACAAGAAAAACAACCCAAGACACACGAGGCAAGAGAGAGAATAACAAAAAGCGAAACTAAAAGCACATAATATTTACACGGGCACGAAAGCAAAAGCAAGAGAAATGGAAAATAAGCAAATAATCAAGAGAAACACGCAAAAACGAGCAAAATCCACAAAAATCAAGAGAAACACGGAAACAAACGACAACTAAATAGTAAACTTGGCGTCCCACTCGCCTTCCCCGGCAACGGCGCCATTTGTTTGTAGTATTTTTGGGCATGTGGTAATCGAGCTACCCGACTCGGGTCATTCTCAAAGGAAGGCTCTTCGGAGCTTTGTTCACTACCTAGTCGTCAAAGTCACATAACCGAAAAAGTCCTAAACATGCTAATC